TATTGAAATATGTTTGCATTTGGAATACTTCACATAAAAAAACTACAAAAAACCTACAGATTTGTGAAGAATGGTTTCCACCCTTGTTCAGGGCTCATACTGTTTTTGTGTTTTCATGACTCTTGTCGGTGTTTCTGTGTTCTGTCCTTTACAGGAAATCTCATGGTATTAGGAGATCCTTCCAGGCCTAATAAACAGCCCGAGTAACTCGGGGCAAGTTACAAATCTCCAGACAAATAACAGTTCTGTAGTCGAACATGGGTTGAGAACATTTCAGAAATTACATCCTTTGGGCCCAAGGGAAAGACATGTTTCTTATCATCTGAGACCTCTTCGCTCATTGATGGCCACACATCACATTTTTTTCCACGGCAGAAACATAATTCATCAATTACCGTTGTGCACTGAGCTTGCCCAACACCAGCGATGGGGCCTTACGCTGTCAGACACTTTGGAGCAGAGAGGTGTGTCGCAATGGATTGAATCTGGTTATTTCTTACGCAATTCTGCACACACAGTACCGAAACATCCAGCGAGAGTATTGGTGCTGATCAACACTGACGGATATCTGATATGTTTAAGGAGAAGATGATATGCACTAACGCTCCAGCTTGTCTGTGTTTGGGAAAGGCATTTCGTTTCCATTGATTTGACTTCCACCACTGCATAGTGATCAAATACAAGTGTTCTAACAAAAGAACTATTTTCTTTTAAGATGGTTGTTTTTCTTTACATTGTCATAAACAAATATTTTGGAAATAATTGTTTAGATGCAGTGGTTGTGATCTGATGATTACTTGAAAATCTTTGACTTAGGTATAGGGCAGGAAACAAACCCTAGTATGCATGCATTTTCAAGCATATGTGTTAATGTTGTAAACCATGCATCAGGAAGATGTCATAACGAGTAAGTGATGTGTGAATTCAAAGCCACTTCAACAGTATTTCCGTCAAATCATAGCATGTCTCTAGCATCAGTTCTATTGTAGGGGAAGATTACAGATGTTTGTCAATTTTATGAAAGCCACTGATTTTTTGCCCTTGGAGTGAGTGAGTGAGTCAGTTTAGTTTTATGCCACTATTAGCAATATTCCAGCAACATCATGGAGGGGGACACCATAAATGGCCTTCACACATTGTACCCATGTGGGGAATCAAACCCGGGTCTTCGGCATGATGAGCAAACGCTTTAACCACTTGGCTACCCCGCCGGCCCTACTGCCCTTGGAGAAAGGGTCATATCTGGGACAATTCTGAGATTAGAACCCAGCATCAGCATTTTAGTAAGTTTGGTGACCAGTGGTCAGTCCACATTTTAGATTGTAAACAAGAAAAATTCTCACATGACTCTGGCTGTTTGAAAAAATCTGATTAGTTAATTAATGGTTCGTAATGACCACTTCTGACCTTAATAGCTGAAATGATGGCTGCCTCACCAAGATCACAGGAGAGGCCAGTATTTATGATGTTTTGGAGAAAATATGTCTAAATCAATCAACGTTGTCATTTGAAAATAACAATATATCCAGTCATATATTACAAAATGCACAGCTGTTTCTGTAATATTCCTAGTGTGTGCTGTAATTGAGTTTAGGCACATAAAACGAGTGTATTTCATGTTTAGCATGCATTAGGGACAATGCAAACTTTTGAAATTTGACACTTTCCATCTTGTTCTGTATCTGACTGAACATGATGAGGGTTATATCTTTTGCTACACAATGAACATGGAGAGCATTTCAATGTCATAATTATTACCACACTAATTTTGTTAAATTTAAACCTTTGAAACCACTCAGTGTATGTTCAGTTCCAGGTTCAATTTAGTGCAGTAAAATCTGCAGGTAACATAGCTCTACATCAGACATGTAGTCTGTCTCACAGTCCCTGAACCACATTATTTTCCCTACTGCGAAGCCCTATCTGCAGTGCTAAAGCCCTATATAAAGCAAGTCTAGATTTCCTCTCTGGTCTCCCTGGGGCTCCTTTTCAATTTAATGGGCTTGTTTGTTACAATCAAAATTATATATATTCAGAGACTAAGAGCTAGTCTATCAGACATGCTGAACAGGTTCAAAACACAGTAACAATATACCTCCCAACAAACCTGATTAACATCTATCACATGCAAGGCTCAAAGGTGACTGTATACTAGGTAGTAATACTTTATCACCATGATCACTATTATTATCAGTGAATATAATCTGGATAACCATGGCTCATATTTAAGTTTTTCATCACATGTCATTTATCATGCAGGAGAGGTATTCCGTAAGCGTCTGACGAGCAAACAATATGCAAGTCGATTAATTTAGAGCCTGAATCACTGTCAGAACGATCAAGAGATAATGTGATCAAGCCTCGGTGATCTTTTCTAGATGATTTCCATGACAGTAATAAGACAAAAATAATTTAGCTTTGTCTTCCGACCTGCAGAGTCACAGTGACTTACAGTGTGCACAATACTGAATAATAATATCTCTTTCTCCCCAAATCAATACGACAAATCTGCACCAGAGCCGAGAAAAGGATTCGTGTTCGTGGTATTTTTAGATTCCATGTATCTAACATGTACAGTGGTATTGAAGAATGCAACACTTTGAGAATTCAAGTGGATTCTCCTGGTTTTCAATGAGGCACTCCCATGCTGGTCTGAAAGTCGGCTTGCTGGGTGGCTGATGCTAACTGGAAAGACACTTCCCAAGTGATGACTACTTGTGTCAAGACAACAAGACACCAGGCTTAGATAGTGAAGGAGTTTGTGGAAAGAGTAGGAATTCATAAATATTACGGAAACTTTCTGGCTTAAACTAAAAGTTTCCCTGAATAATGAAGTTGGCAACATTGGTTGCATTGACAAGCTGTTCTGTGCCATTCACACGACCTGGCAAAACTTACGTCTAGAATACGCCCAGTTATTGAAAGTTAGGAAGGTTAAGGGATACATCACAAAGTATTATGTGTGTGCAACGAACGGTAAATTGGAAATAATTTTTTATTAAGACACACTTTGATCAAAACAATACAGTGCCTTTGGGTCACATATCTAATAGATCAGATGGCCTTTGGCTCACATGTCCACTAAAGCCAGATGATCTTTAGTCAGGTCTAATAGGTCAGAAGGCCTTAGGGTCACAAAGGACGATTCACCGATGCACCAATACATCATGATACATTTAAGTTTGATACAGCTATCGTATCGTCGACTGGTGTATCGATACAAAACGATACACAACTTCTTTTCAAAACAGTATTATCTTAAACATGTTAAAGTACTTATTTAGAGAAAAATATGCAAGTATGATAGAGTTACTTGTTTGTTTATTACAATAGTGTTAATTGTTATAAACAAATACCTTGAAATACATCATTTTAAATCTTAATATTGTGTCATTCTTTCAAGGTGTATGTATCGTGATACATATTGTATTGCAGGTAAAATATCGCAATACGTATCGTATCAAGACATTATGTATCGCCCCAGCCCTAAGGGTCACATGTCTAGTAGGTTAGTAGGCCTTCAGGTCACATGTCTAGTAAGTTAGTAGGCCTCTGGGTCACATATCTAATAGGTAAGTAGGCCTTAAGGTCACATGTCTAGTAGGTTAGTAGGCATCTGGGTCACAAGTCTAATAGGTAAGTAGGCCTTCAGGTCACATGACCAATGGGTAAGTAGGCCTTCAGGTCACATGTCTAGTAGGTAAGTAGGCCTCTGGGTCGCATGTCTAGTAGGAAAGTAGGCCTTCAGGTCACATGTCCAATGGGTAAGTAGGCCTCTGGGTCACATGTCTAGTAGGTAAGTAGGCCTTCAGGTCACATGTCCAATGGGTAAGTAGGCCTCTGGGTCACATGTCTAGTAGGTCTCTGGTCACATGTCTAATAGGTAAGTAGGCCTTCAGGTCACATGACCAATGGGTAAGTAGGCCTTCAGGTCACATGTCTAGTAGGAGTAGTAGGCCTCTGGGTCACATGTCTAATAGGTAAATAGGGCCTCTGGGTCACATGTCTAGTAGGAAACTAGGCCTTCAGGTCACATGTCCAATGGGTAAGTAGGCCTCTGGGTCACATGTGTAGTAGGTTAGTAGGTCTCTGGGTCACATGTCTACTAGGTAAGTAGGTCTTCAGGTCACACGTCCAATGGGTAAGTAGGCCTCTGGGTCACATGTCTAATAGGGGTAAGTAGGCCTCTGGGTCACATGTCTAGTAGGTAAGTAGGTCTTCAGGTCACATGTCCAGTAGGAAAGTAGGCCCTCTGGGTCACATGTCCAATGGGTAAGTAGGCCTCTGGGTCACATGTCTAGTAGGTCTAGTAGGTAGGCTTTCAGGTCACATGTCTAATAGGTAAGTAGGCCTTCAGGTCACATGACCAATGGGTAAGTAGGCCTTCAGGTCACATATGTAGTAGGAAAGTAGGCCTCTGGGTCACATGTCTAATAGCTAAGTAGGCCTTCAGGTCACATGACCAATGGGTAAGTAGGCCTTCAGGTCACATATGTAGTAGGAAAGTAGGCCTCTGGTTCGCATGTCTAGTAGGAAAGTAGGCCTTCAGGTCACATGTCCAATGGGTAAGTAGGCCTCTGGGTCACATGTCTAGTAGGTAAGTAGGTCTGGGTTACATTTCTAGATAAGTACATCCAGGTTGCATGTCTAATCAGTAAGAAGGCCTTGAGGACAGAAATTTCTAAAATCATCCAAACATTGAAAATGATACTATATAGCCTACCGTCATTTGAACAAAGCCTTAAAATGTTAGATGGATTGACCAAGTCACAACTTATCTGATATGTGTACACTACCGTTCCAGTCAATAATCTCCATCCTCTGGGTGACCTCAGACTTATAGAGATCAGTAACTGCACTGTTGGTAAACTTGATGTCTCTATGCCACTGCCTTTCACTAAAATATAACTGTCGCCAACAGACATAGGCATGTCCACATGTCCTGCTGCCCAATGCCCAACATTGATATGTAATCATGGTAATGAATCATTAGTACTGACCCTTCATTGAGGTGGTCAAACTCCACATCCACCAGGTCCTTGTACGTCTCCAAGAAGAAGCTGATGAACTCTCGAAGATTCTTGATATCATTCTGAAATATCAAAACATCAGTTACACAGTATCTGTACAGCATTGGAACTAGTTCAACAAGAAGATTATCATGGGTAACAACTCATTCTTCACTTGCCCTGAAACATCATCCAAAAAACAATAACAAATATAGAGTTTAACAACAGCCCTGACACGTGACAAACTTGATAAAAACAGTGAAGTAGTTGTTAACTGTATTTGTTTCTGGTGCCTGACAAACAGGAAAATATATGTTGTCTAGTAAGGCCAATACAAATATTCTTAAGTCTTAGGTAACATGGACTCAACATATAAGAGTGAGTGAGTTTAATTTTACGCCGCTTTTAGCAATATTCCAGCAATATCAGGGCGGACACCAGAAATGGGCTTCACACATTGTACCCATGTGGAGCATCGAACCAGGACCTTTGGATGAGCGAAAGCTTTAACCACTAGGCTACCCCTCCACCCCCTAAACATGTATAGTCAATCACTGCAGTGTTGAGGTTGCCAGGACCTACATAAATACTTTGAGTTATCCAAGGTTGACTCGACCACAAAATGGGTGCCTGAAGAAGGGATGCACAAGGATGAAGGATTCTAACAGACAACCATGAGTTCAACACATTTAAGTTTGACACAACCGTGTGTAACTGTGTGAGCTCGTCGGTAGGTTCATCTTGGTTTTTTTTATTGAATACCTTTTTAATGTTTGCCATGTTTACTCTTCAGCACTGATGTTAATTAGAAGCTAATAATGGATACAGCAACAGGATGATGTGGAAACTTCCAATATGTGTTTCTTGACAGGAAATAGCTGTAGTAAAGTGGGTCACAAATAAAACAATGAATCGGCAGGTTAACCCGATACACAAGTATTTGAAGAGGGGGCCTAACATCATATGTTAAGACTAGGTCAAAGCAAGCATGGTCAAGGTCAACCTATCTTGACCATGTAATTGAAATGCTCACAAGCCAAGATTATATGCAAGTTATTGTTCACATGTTATCAAGGGTTCAGTTAACAGACTAGATAAGGCATGCTCATAAGGCATGTAAATACGGCAACAGGTTAATGAAACATCTGGACATTTTTGGTGATGACAAACTATTACTGGGAACTAGTTAGGATTTTAGCATCAATCAAATGTTTTCTTATCAAGAGTAAATAGAAAGTGATACCAAGCATTTGACTGGCAAACAAATCAATGTTATATGAGCTTAGGTTACCATACTACAAACTGACAAGGCATTAAGCCATGCCTGCTACCAGAATAGAATTCCATGTAGGCTGATGATTGACTGGGCAGGGCTTGTGTTGTATTATTGTGCCAAATGATGTCATTCATTTTGTATCATTGGCTACCCTGTTTTGTATCAATGTATCAATTAGTGTGGGCTTATTTACTTATCACGCTTATAAAAATTAACTTCAATATCTTTTGCATTAATAAGGTATAAATAAAACAGATTTTTAAAAAGTGTGCACATTGGTTTTCTATGTATACCTTCATAAACACAAAGCATATTTTAGTCAGTTCTAAAATAAAAAGATTCTAAACAAATCCCCAACATAATTGCTTCTGAATCAATCTTACACTAATATTCTTTGTATTTCTACATGCTAACATGGTGAATCACCTGCTACATCATAAAAAAAAAAATAAAATCCAACACCTGAAACATGTTACATGAAATTGAAAATGCCATATTCAGACCATATAATGATGGGTGTGTTTATCTGTGATCATGTTTAGATTTGTATGAAATTTGTATCTGCAATAAACTATCACATTACATAATCATGATCCTTTTATCCAAGACAAGTCATTGAGCATGAATTCTAGAAAGTGATGCCTACAACAGAGAACATGAAGGATTACCAGAAATGTTTTCATAATACATTGTTTCTCACACTAAAAGAATTTTAAGTGAGCATGATAAGAAAGACCAGAGCCGATGACTCAATTTCCCACACTCGGTGGTGAGTGATGTCATGTTCATTTTGATAGCTTAGGCCATACACTTGAGCAATGTCCATGTAAGCTGAGAGAAAAGAGAAGTCAAAAATTCTGCTTGATCGCATAGTTGCCATGGATGCAGACTGAAATAAGTAACAAAAAAGGCCAGCTTACCCATTTATTCTTAAATGCATACTACAATCTGGCCAATTATTCATATCAGCGAGGTTAAATTGCAAATGCTAAGAAAAACATGTTGTTTGACTTCAAAATGAAATTTGAGAATTTGAAACAACAAAACAAAACAAATATTTTGTTTTCTACAATGTGTCATGAAAGTGACATCCAGATTACACAATGAATTAAAATGCATTCTGTGATCAACAGGTTTGTTTTTATCAGATGTCAAATGGCTCTGGTAATTCTCTGGTAAGATACCGGTATGTCACCTGATTGTTGCATTAAGATATCATTGAAACACTGTTCCTCGGTTTTGTTTGAAAATGTAAAACCTTGAGCTCAGTTCTTTCCCCTATAAGTTCATATAAATCACTTATTTCAGCTACTTGACAATATGGGCAACAGTCTGAGTAAGTGTAGATGTCCTCATACTCATCCTGTCATTGGGTTCTATCCATTAGTAACATCTATCAATGTCATCTATCAGACCCATCAGGCCATGTCTCACTTTTCTAACTGGCTAAAAGATCACACATAATATAAACACTACCTATCCATCTTCCTTCTGGCCACCTCAATCAACTACCTCATAAATACATACACTATAATTCACTTGGAAAATAGAAACCATTAGCTGCGTGACTAATGTATTGTGACATGCTATCACAATACATGATTTGCTCTATTTAGCAAAATCCTTCTGATATTTCACAAGAGGTTGTTGCTATAATTAGTATCCTCCAGTTTGTATTTAGCTATCATGTGACCTGATGACTACTAAAAATAAAATCAGATGATGATATATAGAAGGTTCGAATCTCACACATTGATTTGAACGTGTCTAAAGGGGATAATCCTGTAACATGGTCAAGAAGCAAAACAAAATATCAGTCTGACACAGCAATGTTTGACTGTGTGTGCTGATAGGCTGGTCTATATTTTTAATTGAATGCTTTTTAAAAAATATTTACTCTTCAGAACCAATGTTAATTAGTAGCTCAAAATGGATACAGCAACAACAATATGTGGAAACTTCCAGTAATTACCAAAAGTACAGTATGTGTCTCGTGACAGTTGCTTCCATATTCTATAACTTTCAGTCAACCTGTCTGCTTCATTTTGGAGTGCTATGAGTACTGGAATAATGCTGACAGTAATTTATCATCATGATCTGGTGACATCAATCGTGAAACTGCCAAGATTATTATTATTATTCTGCACACAAGAAACATAAAAGTATCTGCAACAGACACTAATTCCAGTCAATATGTACAATTATACAGTCTAAATATAAAACAAATATCCTTGAAATATCTTTAAAAGGTTAACCAACTTCTTGTTTACTATGTTGCAATAACCGTGTGATGCCATCAACATTACCCTCTGATAACACTCCATGCATTTCAGCTATCAGCAAACAAAAATAATACACACACAATTATCAACACAAGTCACAATTCCGAAATAAAATAACAATAATCTCGACAATGTAGAACTTTTTGTAGCATATTTTGCTTATGATGTCATACATGATAGAAATATTTCCGCAGACTTCCTAACCAAATTCCATCCCGAGAGACTCAATAATCCTTCAGATATATTCCATGTAAACTAAATCAAATAATTCGTGAAAGTGTAACACTCGTTGAATGTCTTCATTCTAGGTCAAATTCGTCTTTAAATAGGACTGTCAAACAGCGAAAGAATTTTAAGCAGACGGAGATTAGCTTGACCACCCAGCTGGGCTGGGCCAAGATTTGCATACCGCTAAGAAATCAGATCCTCCCATTTAGAGAGCCGATGGCTGGTTGTCTTACCTTTGCAGTGTATATCATCCATAATTGAAATAAATTTTCTTTCGCATTTAACTCGTCCATGTCGGCGATCACCCTAGGAGGCTGATCCCGTTGATCATGGAAAGTTGGACTGGCAGATTACTTAGTGCCCGAAACGTGAACTCGCACCTCATCGGCCATTTTGACAATTGACAATAATATACGACTAGTCTGACAACTAACGGCATATATTTTAGCAATAGCTATTCATCGACTGGTTGTCGCCAATTTTACTGCTCTGTATTTGTCAAGCATTTCTGCCGGGGTACATTTCTACTAAATTAGAAGCTTATACATATTTTTTTCCATGCGTACACAGGTTGAAATTTGTTTGATTATTCTAATTAGTGCACACACACAAATATCATGTACAAATATAGCTGTTCGTCTCCTACGAAATGACTGTAAATGGTTTTATTAAATGTGAGTAAGATATGAACTTTGTAATTTATTCCATATTCTTTTCAGAACATAACTGAGTCACAGAACAAAGATTTTCAAACAGTGTTGGATATACATGACAAGTCACTGCCTTGAGACAATCTGTGGAAATATTGAAGTTGAAAACTTCGTGTGAGGCTGACGACGTGCATATTTTACTCTGTTGGTACAAGGCAATTTCATAGTCCTCATACATTAATCATATTCACATGCATATAAGTATATTTTAAATGAGTGAAAAGGGAATTATACTTCTAGCGCTTTGAGCACCCACTTAGTGGTTGGATTTATCGCTATATAATTTTTCAGTATTATCATTATTAATTACTATTATGTTTATAAACATGTAATAAGAATATCTGGTATCTGTCTTGACATGGGCGGATTAGCATCATCATGCAATATACGGCATCTGTTATTAATCACTTGCTTACGCATGTTTTTATTCAATTCCGTAGGATCACTTATCAAAATAAAAATACATAACATATTTAAAATCTTAGCCTTGGGGTCTTTTCTAAAGCTAATAACGATCGAAATTAAAGAGAAAGGTTGTTTTATAATTTTTGTCCATTTATGTTGTTATATGTCTTATATTTAATGTCGGCGGATCAGTATGACATGAAACAAAAAAACTATATATTGTGTTATGCATCATCACCATTTTGGTAATGCCACGAAAGACAGACAGGTGTATTAAATAATGAACGTTATGTTTTGAAAAATAACCACAAAGATGCATTTTATCATTATAAATTTGTAACACCATAGTTGACAAACAACCACCCTCGACTGATTTGAAATACCGTGCAAATAACTGAGAAAAATCTAACTATGTACTTTGGTCTCGAATCCGATATTGCGATCAATGGCTGATGGTGAACTTGCTTGTGTCAGCTTAAATGCTTGTATAAGTCCACTTTTTGTGTCTAAGTCACACATCCAACAGAATCCTGTATAAAGCTTCACCATATAAATACAGTTGTTAAAGAAGTAGTATCGGAACACTTCAAAGCAAGGTGTACGGAAGTAAGTTTGTGTCTAAAATTAAGATCACTCAAAGTGATGTTATCGCTGGTATATGTGTTCTAAATCATATGTTTCTGCAAGAATAAATGCGATTTCTGTATGTGGCGAATGTGCTAAATAAAGTGTAGCATGCCTATGATATGATATTATGTTTCTATTTTTTGAATATCTAATGTTTGTTAATATAAATTTAATTACATACATAGATCAAATATACTGTACGTATGTTAATTAAGACGACCAGAGTCAAATGTTACAAATAATTGTCTTTGGTAACGATTCTTCAACAGACATAAATAATTTCAAATTTCTATTTTTACAAAGGCATATGACATCAACACGACTTTCCCGTGTATTATTTCAGTGTGTATGTTTCTCAAAAACACAGCAGTGGGATATCATGTAAAAATTGAACAACGCATCTCAACAACAAAATAAAATTTGGAAATGGACAAATCTTTGTAACATGACGTACCGTAACTATTAACTGTTATGGTATTAGGTGTAATCCCCCACCCCCACCCCCACCCAAAAAAAGAAAAGAAAAAAGAGATCAACTTCTCATTTAAAAAGAGACACTTCCTAATTACTTATAACATTCCGATGTGAAAACAGCCATGATATTGGGGGCGGTGGGGTAGCCTAATGGTTAAAGCGCCCGCTCGTCACGAGGAAGACCCAGGTTCGATTCCCCACATGGGTACAATGTGTGAAGCCCATTTCTGGTGTCCCCACCCCGTGATATTGCTTGAATATATTGCTAAAAGCGGCACAAAACCATACTGACTCACTCACTCATGCTGTTGGTCGTATTCAGTTGCGTTTTATCAGTGAGTGAGTGAGTGAGTTTGGTTTTACGCCGCTTTTAGCAATATTCCAGCAATATCACGGCGGGGGACACCAGAAATGAGCTTCACACAATGTACCCATGTTGGGATTCGAACCCAGGTCTTCGGCGTGACGAGCGAACGCTTTAACCACTAGGCTACCCCACCGCCCCTTGCGTTTTATCAGCAACATAAATCAGTCACTTAAATCAGGTTTCAAAACTTGTCAGTTTCCAAAATAAATTACATGTCCATTTTCCAAACTTGTTAATTCCGTGTATTTCTTTGTGGTCGACTGTCCGATTCGTTGATAAACGGTAAATGTTCATAACACTTCTCTGACTGCAAGGCCGCATTCATGGCCGCATTCATTACGTTGAAAGGAGTATACTTGCCAGAGAGCTCGAGCAGAGCAATGTTGCACATCTATTTATAAATACAGGTACGAAGTGCATTACACACACTTCGAAGGAAGTGTGGCGAAGTTATGTTTGTTTTCAAGGAAGCTGAAGCTATCTGCTGAATATTTGTATGTATATATGTTCTTGTGAATTCACATAACAATCGACTACTCCGTTACTTGATCCAATGAAAGAGCGATTCGGCAAGAAAACAGTGTTCACATATATATATTCTTTCAGAAATATAAGATCTGATGAAGGGGACATGTATACTGACGCACGTAAGAAAGTACACAAGTAACTCACAATCAAAAGACGACATATTTATGTTGTGTTTTTGGAAGTGGAGAAACCCGTGACTGAAGTCATGAGTAACAATGTACGCAAACGTGTCAGAAAACCTTAGAAGCCTGAACTGATGATCCTATTACGTCGTCGGAGGCGGTGAGGTAGCCTAGTGGTTAAAGCGTTCGCTCGTCACGCCGAATACCCGGGTTCGATTCCCGAGCATGGGTACAATGTGTAAAGCCCATTTCTGGTGTCCCCCGCCGTGATATTGCTGGAATATTGCTAAAAGCGGCGTAAAACTAATTAACTCACTCCTATTACGTCGACAACCTATACAAACAAGAGGAAATAGAATTGACTAAGGTCATTAAACCTAACACGTGACATGTCCTGTGAGGAATATACATGTACATGGTTTAAACAAATGTTGATAATATAGTCGGATTCGTAAACAGATTCAGCTCTTAGCAGAGATTTCTCATTATGGAAATGGTCTTGTCACCTTAATATACTCTCCTAAAAAGTGGGATCGTGAAATAAAACTATTATAATCGGTCGTCAGAAGAAAAGATCAGCTTTGAAAAATGGATGCCAAAGATGGAACTTAAGCGTGAGCCAAAACGGTTTTTTAAAGTAAATCCCTTCTCCCCATGACAACAAAATCATTGCTGTGCCACTGTTATCAAATCGAAACGGTCGCGCCTGACTCCAATGACCGAGAAACTTGGGAACCACCCTGGACTTTCGACATGCTGTGGATGTGTCGTGACGCCCTAACGAACGTAATGCGACCTTCTCCGTAAGGCTTCATGCGACTGTAATGATATGGGACGAGATACGGTTGCCAAAAAGCGATTGCACATTGTCGTAAAGGAAGGATCGCTGGACTATTATCGAGACAACATACTGGCACCAATAGATATACCGTTTGTGCACCATCATACAGGTCCACGTTATGTCTTTCAAGACGACAACGGACCCGTGAAGATCCGGGGTAGAATAGGTCTTCAGCAACCCATATGCTTGCTACAAAAGGCGACTATGCTTGTCGTAAGAGGCGACTAACGGGATCGGGTGGTGAGGCTCGCTGACTTGGTTGACACATGTCATCGGTTCCCAATTGCGCAGATCGATGCTCATGCTGTTGATCACTGGATTGTCTGGTCCAGACTCGATTAATTACAGACCGCCGCCATATAGTTGTAATATTGCTGAGTGCGGCGTAAAACTAAACTCACTCACTCACTCACTCAAGACGACAATGCTGCCCCCCCCCCCCCCTTTACTGAGTGAGTGAGTTTAGTTTAACGCCTCTTTCGATATTCCGGTAATATCACGGCGGGGGACACCAGAAATATACAGGATAAATAAATACTGCACACCCATCTTTAAAGGTTGTTTGCACCCACATTTGTAGCACATCACCATCCTGTTGGCATGAGTGTCATGTTTCACCCAGCGAATCATTTTTCTTACCCATACTCCAGCAACATCAGGGGAAACCTGAAATGGGCTTCACGCATTGTACCCATGTGGGGAGTCAAACCCGGGCCTTCGGCGTGACGTTTTAACCATTAGGCTACCCCGCTGCCCCTATAACTCGAACAACCACAAAAGTCTCATACACATGAGTTCCTTAACACAAAATTCAGCACAACTGTATTTGACTCTAAATAGAAAGCACCGTGGACGATACATATTTTATTATTGTAGCAACGAATCAAAATAACGAAAAGTGAAACTATACATATTTTATTATAGTAGCAACGAATCAAAATAACGAAATGTGAAACTATACATATTTTATTATAGTAGCAACGAATCAAAATAACGAAATGTGAAACTATACATATTTTATTATAGTAGCAACGAATCAAAATAACGAAATGTGAAACTATACATATTTTATTATAGTAGCAACGAATCAAAATAACGAAAAGTGAAATGATACATATTTTTTTATAGTAGCAACGAATCAAAACACCGAAAAGTGAAACTATACATATTTTATTATAGTAGCAACGAATCAAAACAACGAAAAGTGAAACTATACATATTTTATTATAGTAGCAACGAATCAAAATAACGAAATGTGAAACTATACATATTTTATTATAGTAGCAACGAATCAAAATAACGAAAAG